CACCCCACCCCACATCAACCACGAAGCATCAACTTCGTGACGCAAGTGCTGGCGAATGTTAATATGCCCCACCCCACCCCACATCAACCACGAAGCATCAACTTCGTGACGCAAGTGCTGGCGAACGTTAATATGCACCACCCCACCCCACCCCAACCCGACCCCACCAAAAATCGCGATTTCCTCTGGGGTCGATAACAGCGGCGACAGCAGAAAGTAACATAAACAAATCCCGTAAAACCCCTTGCTCCGTGGCCAACCGGGCTTCCCGAGCCAGCTGTTCTTGCCCTGCCACATGCACCTGTTAGCGACGTGGTCAACGGGTTCAACGAGAGGTTGTGCGCTGGGTGCTGAAACGCTGACCGGTGTTGTGCACGTGGTGTCCGCAACGTGGAAGGCCCACATGGGTAGAGGGCGTTGAGTCTTCTACAGATTCATCTAACTGCTGCTCGTCCTGCACCGCTCAAGCACCCATACAGGGATGATCGTGGTCAAACATCAAAACTGCGACAACCCTCTAAGAGCTCCTTCACTTTCCCTGACCACTGATAATTACTGTCTTCCACCAGTTCAGTTTTGAGGCTAACCATCCCCAAAAAGGTTTGGCATATGAACTGCTGAGTGTGGGAGCATAGGTCTTACCCAGCCTTATTATCCACCAAATTGGGAAACAAAACAAAATAAACAAGCTATTTACTGTACAAAAAATATCAATAAATAATAAACCAAAAAGCACGTGCGATGAAAGAACGCAGCGCGCCTGAACCTCACCTGTCTCATCGAGTTCGTCCAAGGACAAAGGGCCCTCCAGCCGCCGTAAGACCTGAAAACGGTTGACAGGATGTGACAGGTCCAAGTGTCCAATTCCGCTCCATGACACTCTTTCCATGGTTTGTTTTGGTTCCCAGTTCCACTTCCAAGTCGAATTCCAGTTCCGGAAAAGCTCCCAAACTCTTCGCCGTGGCGCCGCATGGATCTGATCAATGGGCGACCCGAAGTTGTACGGCAGCCTGGGACACTTCTGGTGGCACCCAAGAGACGTACGCCACCCGATGGAGCGGGACCAACCCACTCCACCGATTCCGGTCACCGCCAGATGGATCCAAGTATATTTTGTCAAGTATTGTCATGGAACCGGGTGTGAGTTGGTTGGAGACTCGACTACGGAACGTTGAACGATTAGAATTGAAAGCAAAATCGCAGGCCCCTTCGAAAGCTTGGCCAGCAGTTTTACATTACACACTGGGATGGTCCGCTGTTCATTTGGCAGCCCGAGTGGAGAAGAAAACCCTGCAGCCACAGGGACTACCACAGGGTTCTTTCGCTCCACACCGCGCCTCCGCACCACACCAATTCAACCCCCCAACCGTACCATCTAGGGCGATCAAAGGGTCAACTTCAACGTCGTCCAAGAGAGATAGAGCATGATAGAGCCATTTCTGCAAAAATACTCCAACTCCAAGACCTCCTTTTTCTTGCAATGAGTCAGCTTCACATTTTGAGGTTAAACATGCCTTTCTCCAGGTCAAACCCAACCCCAATTCAATCTCCTACCCTGCGCATAGACTCGACATAGAGAGATCCCACGGTTGAAATACTTCGACTTGTCGAGACATCCACTCCCACCCACGCATTTCGAACGCCACAGGCGTGGTGCCTGAAAGAAGCGCTACAGGAAAAGATCTCAAGGTCATGGAGCTGCACGGGCCCAGCACAGATGCAAATGTGCTTCCAACCAGTCAGCGTGATAGGGCAAAGAGGGTGGCCTTGACGGGGGATCTAATCTACTCCAGGTGCTTTAGCCTTTGCAACAACTTGTGACCGTGGTTGGTCTTGCCTGTCGATACTTATTGTCCGAGATGTGTCTCGAAGTGGAGTGATGGGAATTTTGAATTTTGTTCTCCTTCCTTATAGAATCAAACAACTCCTGGTCTATGGAGGTGTTAGCTTCAAAAGGCTCCTTCAAAGAAACACAAAGTTTTTCCGGATTCTTTCTCCCATGTCCGCCTCCATCGTTTCCGCCTCTTTGGGCCCTTCGCTCTCCGTGCGCAAGGGGCCCAGGACCTCCCGGAGCAGTCTGAACGGGTTGGATGAAGAAGTCATGAAGAAGTTCACCCGATTTCGGGGGCCACTCATCTGCCACCCAACTAACGACCTAAGCACCCCGTCCACCGTCCCAAGTTGCACACCCCCAGTTTGTACAGCTCACGTTCCTTCCCGGCGTGTACATGGAGGTCACTGCCCTGTATGGTAAGCAAACGCGAACCCAAACAAGAAGCGTTTTGAAAATGTGCTTGCACTGCTTTGTCGCTCCCCCTTTCCTCTCCCAATGCAAATGTCACCTGGGAGAACTCGCCCTTGCCACTGGTGCCCACTGCTCGCGCCATAAAGAAGTAGTCTTGACCTGCCACAGGAAACATGGTAGACCCCACAAAGGCCTACAACATCCTACAACAGTATACTGTATATACTGCATATATATATATATAATAGACGTATATATAAACATATTCCACCACTCAGTAGTCCTATAGGTCGAACGGAAGGGGTTGGAACGATGGAGTGATATGGAGTGCAGAACATAACTCGTGCCAGGCCAGAGAGGAACATAGGATCGACAACCGTACATTTTCTGTGCTGTGTTGCTCTGCACTCGGCAAGCCGATGGAGCAATACATTCAGCAGACTGAACCCGATCTCTTGCTTCCATTTGCCTTCTGGTACAAGTTTATGAATGGCGGAGATGAGTGGCAATTATGCCATCATTCCATACACTTCCCCCAAGCGCAACAGCAAGCGGCATGCCGGACAATACTGCAGGCAAAGTGTTTGTCAACCATACTACACAAAAGGGCACAGCCATTGAGCCAAGAAAACGCACCTGCTAAACCATGATGATGTCCCTTCCAGCAACTCCAGCCTTTTTCGTGGAGTCTTCCTGAAGAAATCCACCCAAACTCAGTGTTTTTAAGGACCTTAGCGGGATTAGGGGCTTGATGAAGCTCCCATGCCCTTGCATTGTGACGGCACCTGGAAGCAGCGATGTGATGGTGAAGCTCTGCTTAGGAGGCACCACTGGCGCATACATGCACTCCTGCACTTCTTTCGGCTTTCGATTCGGTGCCTCGTCAGCACCGGGAGATTGGGTCAAACTACACTAGCATGGCGAATAAAGTTGGCGTGGCAAATGCACCAATAGCATCATTCATAAACTTCCCACACAACCACATCATATCATATCACCCTGTTCCAGAAACATCTGTTCCCTTTAAGGCAGCCCTTGGACCCACATGGATCGATCCGATCTCCTGTTCCGCTTCTCTCCGTCAGACCCGGTGCTCCTCACAGTAGAGCTCCCCGAAGGAACCGCAGCCGGCTCCGACATCGGGCCTGACGCGACGCGTCCTTCCGGCACGACGGGCCGTCTATGTTCGGCGAAAGGGGGTCGTTCTCAACGGCGAAAGTGCCGGACTTCTGTTTTCTCCACGAAAAGCTCCGAGCTCCTTTTACTTGCAAAAGTTGGGTGCACGTGCGTGGAACAAGCGTTTTTTGGCGGCAACAAGCAGCGTTCAAGTCTCATCAAGGCCCCGACTCGGCGTCCTCCTTGATAGCATAACCTTGGAGGACACTTCAGCGCTCGAATTCATCGCATGGAGGCCAATGTACATGTTGCCACCGTCCATGGGTGGAAGTGCCACTACTTCGACCCTCTGAAGACTCACATGACCACGTGCATCGTGTCACCACGATGGCACCAAACAAATCTCTGAGAGGATCTTGGATCAGTCTATATCTCATTTCGGATCACAGTACTTTGCAACCGGACCCGCATATATAGAGATGAGCAAACCAGGAGCCTATTTACAGCATCTGATTCATTAGCCTTTGAATTGATATATATATATATAGATGTTGAACAATGACACGGGGTCTTTGATACTTCAACTGTGATCCCGTCACAAATTAACTTTATGCGATCCAGGTGTTTAACCCCGCACTCACCGTCTCCACATAGCACCCAGCGAAGCATGCATATATCGAGAATCGACACTCCTATTTCTTTGGAGGGATGTCATGCTAGATTGTATGCTGTCTGTGTGGTTCATTGGGCTTCCATCTGCTATACCTTCACCGCAACATGCCACGGATAGACTAGGCAGCATATGAGCCATTGTCAGGACCATAGTTTGTCAGCAGCGACCGTGAAAGCGCACTCTTTTCTCACTGGGCACAGCCGACTGGGACTTCTGGAGGAACTATCAGGAGACATGCCGCGTGCCGATGGCTATTAGTGGTGAATAGGATTTGCTCAGGAGCCATGGATCCAGCTCCTTAGGTCCTTCCCTTGCGCAACAAAACAGACTCCAAGCAAATATCAAGTCGCTTCCCCCCGTCCTTTGTTCCAACAAATAGTTCTCTATGTTGTCTCATATGCTCTGTTGCTTCATCGAGGCGGAGTAACATGAAAACGCTGAAGGATTCGGAGGGCGGCATTTCCCTTGATGGTTGTTTGGGACCATTTCCTCACAGCTGGCTTCGATCAGCGGCTCAGACTGGGACGCCGGACGCCTGAAAGAGTGGATCTTCCCCAGCACACTACGATAGAACATCATATATACTACAGTTACTACAGTTTCCAAAAGGTCGTTGTTTGTGGATGCCTAACCAGGGGCAGCCAAGTGCTAAGCTATCATTCAAAATCGAATCTTCTGCCAGGTTTTGTTGCCCCTGCTCATGTGACCCCTGGCAGTGGTTGTTCAAAAAAACAACTCCCAGCTGATCATTCTACAATGACTCAGCTACAAACCACCAATCCAAAAAGGATGGAACGAAACTGGGGGGGTGCACTAAAATTCCCCGCCAGACTCCAATCCACCAAAACATTTCTACACAATCCTCCGCTCATGATGACCATGAGCCTCCGAAATAAACAACATTAGCATGCATTAGCAACTAGACTAGAATCAACTTGAAACATGTTTTGGCGTGCTTCCGTTCCGATACACTTGAATTAGCAAACTAAACAATACAAATATCTGATATCTTCTGATACATTCAGGAACTCAAGCCACTCCTCTCTTTGAAGCACTTACGAGTGGGCAACTGGCTTACAACATAACAAAACATTGAACACAGGTGCACCATGGTACACCGTTTTTTCTGATTCTTGCAGGGGCAATCCCAACTTAATACGGACTAATGCGGGTAGGTCCTTCTATGACTTGAGCAGTGAGCAACTTGCAGGTCCTCCATTTCCCACCCATGCCATACATTCCGGAGTAGCTGACCAACCGGACTCTGGACTCGGCCGGCGGCGGCAATTCAAGTTGTCCCGAGTCCTTCTCGTGGAAGGAGAGCAACCGCTTGAAGCTCTGTAAGGCCTTTTGCGTCGCCGCGTTGTCCAACAAGGAGCCCTCAGGGTGTCAGCAGGCGCGTGCAACTGGCAAGTCTGGCGAGTCTTGCTACGGTGATGTCCAAGGCCCACGCAAATATCAGCAAGGCAGCAAAATCAGCAAAATGAATGGGATCCCAAACAAAGTGTTCATTGGGCTGTACCGTGTTGTGCCTTGTGCCTATATCTATACAGCTGAACGGGTGAAGCTTCCAGATGTTGATAAGTACTGTAGAAGAGAGGCAACCACTCCTCACTACCAAACGGATTTTGTAACTAGAAAGGATTGGATCAACCAAACATTCCAGTCACGGACTGATGACACACGTTACCAACTGCATTTCATTAGCAACTTTTTCTGGTGTGCTCTGACCAATCCCAAGCTTAGTGAAGCCCTTGAAAAGCCAACATTCGCTCATGCTCAACCCAAGGCAATTGATGCCTTGTCCTCTATCTTTCGCCACTTCTGCCCCCACATTCGTTCATTGCCCTTCGGTTCATCGCTGGAGATATACAATAGGCCTGGCCAAGTCGCTGTCGCGACATACTTTGCACCAAAAGCTTTTATTGTGGCGCGGTTGCCCAAACTTCGTAAACCCTAGGCTAGGCCTCAATGTCGTCTGTACTGTAAATACAATGACCGTAACTATATATGCATGTTTATATTACTATATAATATATGTAGAAAGTGTCAAACATATATCTATCAAATCACGTGCACCTGTCTCACACACATTTATAACATACATTAATAGACGGTGTATGTATATGTGTATATATATATATATTAGTTGAACTAAAACCACAAACAAATCCGACCACCGAAGTGAGAGTCTAAGGGCAAATGCAAAGCATGTACCCAGCACCCAGAACCGCATGTACGAGAACTCATTTGCAGGATTGCCCACTGACCAAGCCCTCAGAATCCAGACTCTAGACCAACCGCAACCGCACTGGGCGGATCCCTTCCTCCAGTGACCCAGGTCTTGCTTCCATGGATGAGGTCGATGTAGCTCTTTTGGGCCAACAAATGTTTCCTCGGCAAGAAACGCAATGCCAAGTCATCACTCCCTGAGCTATTTCATCCTGTGGAAGACTTGGAAGGAAATTGGTGCATCGTACACTGCCAAGAACAAAATTCATCCCAAAATTCCAAGGTTCCACAACAGTTCCCCAGTCTTGCATGATGCAGTCTCGTCGCCCCTCCAGGCTTTGTAAGCAGCACTGCTTCATGTGCTCCTCGCGGTTCGCTGAAATTTGGCGGCACTGGCCCCGCTTGGGAACTACCAGGAAGCGTGCAGGTCATATCAGGAACTCTTCATGCCATTGACCCAGACTGTCCATGGCTGTCCTCCTCCTTCTCATCCAAGGCTTTGGCCAACAACAAATCTAACAAGGGCTCCAGCGAAGACATATCCGGAGCTTCGCCCAAGGCACCATCACCTTTGGCCAAGTGTAGGGAATCCCCAAAAAAGACGCGTCAGTGACTGCTAAAGCACCAGGCTGAAGGATGCATCAGTGAAACACTGCAGCTGGTCCAAAATCGCAAAATGGTCCGCCTTTATTTGGAGACCCTTACAAGGACATGGTACAAGGAAAAAACTTCTAAACTTTATGTTAAATCAGTTACCAGTACAGTAAATCCCATTGGGCCAAATGGTTTTGGCGGGTGTCCTCTATTATTAAACGAAGACAGCCACCTAATACCACCTGCGCGGGGAGAAATCAAAACAACTACCCAGCCGGCCTCCTTTGCGTCGTTTTACTCTCTTGCAATTGATTGGCAGAAAACACAGTCACACACACAAGAGGTGCCGAATGAAAGGGTCCGGTATGATTGAGGAATTCGACCGTGTATACTCTTCCTCTCCTCCTGGCATCAAAGCCACCTTGCTGCTTCCACTGTCGCAATGTTGCCACGGCGAAGCGCCGCGCGAGCTCTGCGGTGGTCTGCAGCTCCTGGCAGCGCAGTGGCTGCGAAGGGTTGGTCTCAGGACGCATAGCCTCCAGCATAGCCTGTTTAACTACAGCATAATTGCGGCATAGCCTGTTATATATTGTATTATAGCAGAATTCCATAGCTTAGTTTGGAAAATCGCAAAGATCCAAAATGTGGATGTTTGGAGATCTGCTCTCACACAGACTGGCAGGCTGCCGGAGATAGTTTGTTGCGTTTAGAAGTGGCGCGACGCACATGCTACTATCTAGGAATAAAAGCCCTTCCCCCTCCTGTTCTGCGCTTTTCTCGGTGTGCTCTGCTTGAGTCTGAGTGCCACGGCCAAGAAGCTATGCTATTCGCCATGGCTTCAAGCTTCAAAATAAGGAAAAGTGGCTAAAAAGACCTGCAGGTCATGTCGGTCTTCAATGGCCCGCTTTGCTGCCAACCAGACCTGACCCGATTTCTCTCGAAGCACTCAGTAGTAAGTGCCGTCATCCTTGCCCTGAGCATCCAACAAGCCCTTCCAATAGTTCGCCTCATATGCCTTCTTGGCATTGGTGTCCACCAGCACTTCAACCTCACCGGAGCCCAAAAAGCCACCCTGTCGGCACTCGAAGATCAACAGGTTCTTCTTGTCGACAATCAAACCCGTCAAAGGACCAATGATGGGCGGGGAGACGCACCAGTCAATGAGCTCACCAGTGGTCACCTTGAAGGAAGAGCCGTGTAAAGGGCACACGATCACATCGCCAATGACATCCGCACCCTCGCTCATGGGGGTGCCAATGTGAGGGCACAAGTTGCCAACACAAAAGAGAGCACCAGCCTCAGTTTTCCCAATCAGGACGTCATTGCCTGCCAAGGTCAAGGCCTTGAGTTCCGTGGGTTGCAATTCCGAAGCCTTCACTCCGGTCTTAATCCAGGCCAAAGAAGGCAGGATGGTCTGGGTGGTGTAGCGAGCAGCAGTTTTGGAGCGCTTGGAACGCTTGGCCAAGCCCACTGCAGCAGCTGCAGTGCACACACCGGCAGCCATCTTCAAGCCAAAGTTGCTGCTGGGCTGAGGTGTTGGGCTTGCAGTGCCCAAGTGCTGCTGGAGGACAGCAGGCTGATTGACGGTGGGCGCAAGGAAAGCCAGCTCCATGGCAACAGCTGAGAATCGCAAGGTGCGGGTCAGCAAGCGATCTTGATCTGCGGGCCTCGTTTTTTTCGCGAACCATTCCTTGTTAGACTATGTGCATGACCTAAAGACCTGGATATGAACGGCAGGAATCATCCTGGTGCATCTTCAAGTCACCTGTTTTCTATCCAGCGTTCCACTACTCAGTTCGACTACATCACCCTGAAGAATCTGAACACCTCCTGTTGGCATCGAACATCTCCGAACGCTTGCTCCTTGGCCACGGCCAGCAGCTCGGAGGGTGTCTCCTTCACATCCTGGGCGGATGAATGCTAGGCCAGGGGGGGGCTGGGGCCTTTTGATCGGTCAAGACATCCTAAGGTCCTAAAATGGCGATGGAAAAATGGGCACTGAAAACCATCCAAACACGTGTCCCGACAGCCGAAGCTCCTGAGCCTTTGCTACCGGTGGTGCAGCTGAGGCCGCCTTCGGTTTGGGCCTTGGATCATTCAGCTGTGAGGAGAACCAGGAACATCATGGACATGAGCATGCTTGTCCCGTTTTAGCCACAGATTGAAATCTTGGGTTCCCCTACACAATTGAGGAGGAATGGTTGATCACGCATTTTTATTGGCACTGGGGGTCTAAGTCGGAGAGCCTGAAGATCTGTCCACTTTGAGAATGATGGTGCAAATCTGTTTTTTTTGGGCCTTTGACCTCACGTTTTTTATCACGTCCTCCTCCTTTGGGGTTGCTAAGGTCACTTATTAAACACATGTCAAAATGAACCAAGCTCAAAATCTGGTGGATACATCTTGCAGCCCCAGGTGCTCGGAGGACTCTGATTCGGAATCGCTCGCAGCACGTTTTTTTTCCGGCGCCCTTCTTGAAGGAGTCGAAGGAGAAAAAGGCCATGGGAGCTGTGATTCTCTTGTGTACGGTGTTGCATGCAGGATCAACCTTTTGTGACAATACTGTCGGACAAAACAAAACATTACAGTATCTTTCCTGCGCGGGTCTCAATCTCAAAGCAACCTTTCCACACCAACGCTTGGCCTTATCCACACGCCAACTGAAGAGTTTTGCGAGCGTTCTTGGTTGTGAGGCAAAACAGTGTTCCTCCAGCTTTCCCAGAGCGAAGAAGGCCTCTGGAGCAGTTGGCACCCTCAAACCCTATGTGAGGTGTTTCTCACTGGATTATTGGAGACAAGCTCAATGTACTTTGGATAATATACTTTTGTATTAAACATATGTTGTACGGATGATCGTCCATGTATGATGATGATGTACTCCATATGTATGATCATCCAATATATATATATAGTGTTATAGTATTTTGTTACAGGTTTCTACCGATGATCACAGGTGCCGACTTGGGGTGCACACGGGTGAACACCGGTCGGCTCCGTTTTCACATTCGCATCAGAGAAAGGACGGCCCCAACAATGTAACAAGGACCCTCAAGTCTGATATTTACCTTCCTTCAACAAATGTCTGGAATCTGGCAGGTCTTGGTTTGCACAGTAAATCTGGGAGAATCCAAGCCAGTCAAACACTAATTATATACCTAATTGTCTTTTGACGCCTTTCGTCCATTACACAACGCAATTTGCAGGCTCTTGAGATCAGCCCACAGCTGCAGCATGCATGGTCTCCAAATCAGCGGGGCCGCACATTTGTGTGACCTCTTCCCGGACTCATGGATGTGGTCATGCATCAATCGAATGACACCATACACGGAAGTAAGCCTTAGATGCGTATAATTACATGGCATGTAGGTGTTTTGTAATGTTTTGTACATCTCCCTCCTCAATTCGCAGCATGTTAGCTACTTAACCTGTGGTTGTTGATGCTTACTGTATGTCTTCTGTCGTCGCATTCGCTCAGCAAAAAGGCCCAAGAATTAAAGGCCCAAGAATTTCCAAAGTGACCAGACCGCCAAAGAGTCCTGGAACGAACCAACCGTTGGTCATATCCTAAGACCAAACCAAACAGGTCAGAAGCGCAAACGCAACTGGTCATATCCCAAGTCCAAACGATGCTTAACTTTTGAAAACCCCTCGGTGATTCGGACTCGCTCCCCAAACTCGGACAGCTCAGGTCCGGTCTCTGGTCCGACTCCAGCCGCTCGGACGAACAGTAGCCCAGAAACCAAAGAGTTTATCCACGTCATCGGTGTGGTCCATGAGCCGCGAGGCAAACTGCAGCCGTTTTGCGTGCAGAAGGCTGGTCACTAAGAAAAACGCAGTGGTGGATCAGTACATTAAACGGGTCTCTGAATGAACACTTGTAGCTTTTGGGGTTCTAAACTGATGGTCAACTGAGCAATAATTATTGTTTTTGGACCTGGAGGTGGTACTGTCATGTACTGTCTATTTTGAGCAGTTGGTGGTCTGATCTGTGGTCTCGATGCATTCCACTTTCCAGCGGTTCGCGCATTGACGATCAGCAAGTAATACAACCTCACTCCTGCCATGTCAGGCTTGGATCTCACCACTGTGCCAATTGTGATGGCTTTTGACCTGTGATGAAGCACATCTGTCTGTCCGGGATATCTACTGCACGCAGGGCTTCCATACCAGTTAGCCTAGGGTTACCCGCTTAGCTGAAAAGCTGCATAAAGCATCCTGGTCCTAAAACATCCTTCAGATCCAACGTTACACCTTTACAATCCGTTACAATCCGTTACAGTATGCCTGCTTGAGACAACACCTTGCACCCACCACTCGCTGCCGCGCGTTGTTTCAGCCGCTGCCTGGCACCACCGCACCACCGACTCATTAGGACCAGCAATCAAATCCTGGCGACAAATCCGGGTGACTGGCGTTGTGACTGGTGGTGACTGTTTCACCTGGTCAAAAGCAAAATCAAGCATTTGGACATGCACACAAATACACCTTCACAATGTTCATTAAAACAACGTTTTGAGTCTTACCCACAAAGGCCAATAAAGAAAGCACTCTTAGACAGCCCCTTGGTACCGCAGCTTGTTGAACCCCAATCCTCCTTTCGCTCCTGTTGCTTCCCCTTGGCTCTGGGCGCCCGGGCCACCCGCAGCAGCTCCACTCCGTTGGTCTCGGGCGCCGTCCAAGCGACCGAGATGTCTCGGGACGTCACGCTGGACCTGAGCCGGCCCAAATAAACGCGCGGGCCAGGCAGCCTGAGGCGAATTATTGGCGCAGGTTGAAGGAGGGCTGCTGGCCCAACCGAGTCTTAGAGGATTGGAGGTTTTGTCTGGAAGTAGCGTCAGCTGACCGAAAAACACATGGTCAGCATGGGAATGACGATCATACTGAATCGTTCCATCATCATCATCATCATCATCGTCATCGTCATCGTCATCGTCATCATCATCGTCATCATCATCATCATCATCGTCATCGTCCTCCTCCTCCTCCTCCTCATCATCATCATCATCATCATCATCATCTCTCTGTCTATGTATGTACATGTATATATATATGTGTATGTGTGTATGTGTATGTATGCATGTATGCATGTATGCATGTATGCATGTACGTACGTACGTACGTATGTACGTATGTGTGTGCGTGTGCACCTCCAACACCCATTGGATCACTCTAGAATCTTGGTTTGGTGAAATCCAGGAGCATGTATGGGTCCCAAGGCGCTGCTTCCATGTTTCTGAATGAAGTGAAATCATGTGTTTACATATGCGTCAAGGCTCATGAAACCACCAACATTAAGGATAACAAAAACACACTCAAGGATCGCTCATTTTTTATACATATTGTTCAGTGTCATCGGCCTGCAACTCTCTGGGTGTCACCCATTTCGACACCATCCGTTTTGGAGTTCTCGGTGCCCCGGACATCCAAAGCTCCTCGAGCTTGGCGGGTTTGGAGTTCTTGGTGCTGAAACGGGCCACCTCTCAGGTGCGGTTCCCGTCGCACCAACCCCTGAAACGGCTCCATGTGAGAACTTGATCATCTATCTCATCAGAATCAAGAGTTCTTAGCGGGCTTATATAATAAATCTTAAATATTCTTAAACTATCTACCAAAATCTCGTCAAATCCCGATGAAGTGAGGTCTTGGTTCATTCACAGTCAGCGCTGCAACCCCCGCAACAAAAACAACAATGACATAAACATACATAAAATCAGCAACTCCCCAAACCACCGCTGCCCGGTTTCACCGGCCGCCTCAGACCAGCCACTCCATCCCACACCTCACACATGTCGGGACGGATGAGTGGTCAAACATGGGCATGGCCAGGATTTCGGGGTGGAATTCTGGTCACAGATGCTGGACATCTGATTTCCAGGAGCTGAAGGGGGAGACTCATCTTGTGGCACATGAGACTCCTGAGGCCTAGAGGCCAGTGTCTCCATCGCCGGACTTCAGTCTCCCTGAAAATAAGAGCATGAGATCGGTCGAACACTGGTAAGAAGCAGCCAGCGCACATCCCCCAAAGTCGTCCAATCCCTCGTTTAAAGTTTCCAATACCTAATTAAAAACAGGAGCACGGGAGCACTCAGCCTGCTGAGCTTGTCAGTCATCCTTTGACCAAGGTTTGGGGATCGACAGATTTGGTTGATTGAACGTGACAAGTTACATTGGTGAACCGGGAAGGTCGCGAAGAAAACACATGCACACCTGGATCAGCCACATGCGACATCGTCTTCCCTCCATACATGACATCATCTGACCTTGCACACTGCATAAGAAGCGCAGGTTGAACTTCATGAGTTGGACTCATTCAAAGACAGCCACATCTTCAATCCTAACCACTTCCCACAACCCTGCGACATGCTATATAATCAGCCAACATATAAGCTGCTTGTGGGCCCAACTCAGGATGTGGTTTGAAACTGTATTCTTACAATTCCAAGGGGTGACGTGGAATGAATATATGTATATATATGTGTGTGTGTATGTAAATATATATATATATATTATATGCGTATATATATAATTATACATTTACACATACACACATACGCCATATATGGCTTTTTGTGGTGTTGAATGGTTTGATGTGCTTTGATGGATGGCATGAAGGTAATCTTGTTGTCAAGGGCCGGGGGCACGACGGCAGTTTTTCTCAGGGCCACTCCTTTCCGCAGAACGAGAAACGAGTGTCCGAGCTACCTCCAACAAGCTGTCCGAGTCACAATTGCAAGCTCTGATCGTGAAGTAGTACATGGTTCCATCTGGCCGACGCTGCTCAGTGTCGGTAGGCAGAGTGCATCAAGGACCATGATCAACCACAATAGGAAGTGACACCAGTGTATTATATATCATTGTAAATCTATGTAAATCATATATATATATATACACCTTTTGCCTTTCGCGGTTTGTGTCGATTTGTAATGCGTGTCGTGAGCGGTGCAGCACAAGTCCAACATTCTCATGCAAACGGAGTGTCAAGGACGCACATGGTTATACTGCCCCTGCATGACACTGCCATTTGCCTCCTTTCAAGGCGCAAGCGTACACCCCAATGCACATCAGGTGCCGTTGCATCACTGAATACGCGGGCAGTCTTGCACAAAGGATCACCAAAGGCACATTATGTCTTCAAACAAACACATGTTTTGGCAAAGCATGGATGCGATTCGCTGCTTCACTTTGCCCTCAAACAATAACTGAACACATGGACACATGATTCGCTTGGGCAGCACTGCATTGGAGGCATGAATCGCTTCATTGCTCCAAGTAGAACCATAGTTACCACAATTTGGCAACAATTGACATGCGATGACACACACCTCTTCTGAAAAAAGAAGTGCATATATAATCAGAACATGATAGAACATGAAACCCGCATGCATGGGCAAGACACATACATGCATAAATGTTGCAACTGCACAGAGCTTTATTGGGGAGGATGGTGCACCTTTTCGCCTAGTACCCATGTACCACCTGCCCCACATAGGAAAGCCAATCTACAAACCCTGGATTCTATGATGTCACCAACAAGTGATGCAAGAACAAAAGCTTTACAAAAAACAAGCTGCCAACATCTACCAGTATGAATCAGTACAACGCGTGTGCGCAGCGTGGCGGTGTTTCCACCAAGCAGCAAGGACCAGGAAAACAAGTGTCTTCGAGACTGAAAAAAGGAATCCGAATGAACCCAATGCTCCCCTGTTCTAGACAGGTAACAACAACGGTGTTAACTATCTCGTCGATTTATCTTCGTTCCCTCCAGCGGTTTTGGGCCACTCATCACTCCCCGTGTCTCCGCCACCTTCAAGGCCGTGGATCCGATAAGCATAGCTCCCCTGTGGCACGCTTCAGAAAACCGGAAGGAAACCATTCGTGGCACCACAACGAATCTTCATAAGTGACATGAAGGTGCAATATCCATTGACAGTATATCCGAGGTGTGGCAATGATTGCATCAGCTACTTCAGTGTGTGCCTAGCAATGGTGATAACTTGTCTCGCTATGATGAGTGATGCTTTGATTTGTCCTGTTGGTGTTGGGATGATGTTGGAGGAAGCTTGCCACGCATTCACCCACCGAATGTCCGTACCGTGACTATAAGTCATTCCGTGGGTCCAGGAATGTCACGTGGCTCCGTGGCTCCTCAATGGCGACCCCAAAATGAACGTCTGGTTGCTTATCTGTTGTTGACTGGAATCGGCGCGTCTAGAATATATAAATATATATATATATATATTTATAGTACAATACATATAACACACACACACATATATATATATATTTATACCGATCTTTATAATACTCTGGATATATGTCGTACACGTTCCATCTCCATACAGCACTGGTGATTCAGAAAACTAGCTAACCTTCCTTAAGGATCACGTCCAGTGCCTTGCCCATCCTCGCCGTCTCTTTCTCTCACCCACTTGGGAGGCGGAAAAGAACATGTCAAAAATCGGACCCTGAAAACCTGTGTTCAACGAGCCGAAATGCTCCTCGAACCAGTGATGCCAGTGGTAATCAGCAGTATTTGGGTACTCTGAAAACTCAAATCTTCAGAGGACCCCAAAAGCCCCCAATCAACCACCAAGTCACAGCAATTCACAGCCACACATGCCGTATGACTATGCCGCCCACCACTGTGATTATAATGACTCTCCGCCCGCTGTGACGCGAGCCTTGTCTCGGGAGGTCAGCTTCTTTCCTTCTCCCTGGATTTTGGTGTTCTTCTCCAGGTCATCTTCATCAATGGTGATCCTGCGAGGCCAGGTGAGGAGCCACAAAGAAATGGAGCCACGGGTCATGCAGATTTGTTACACAAGTGGACCCAGGAATTGGTACCATGCAGGAAAGCAGAGCTTGTTTTTGGTCGCGAGGAGAACGGTGTTGGTCCCGTTCTTGAATCGTGGAGTAATGTTGGATCCTGATTAGTAAAGGGGTCCTGTATAATGCTAAATTGTTCCAAATTTATTCAGACCCCCATGTTTGAAAAATGGGTCCTGAATAATGCTAAATTATTTTTGGGACCCTAAATTTGTAAATTGGAAACCTAGTTAATAAGGGATTGAACTCCTTCTGAGGCCAATGATTATGATTCATTAGCTGATATAGCTTTCTCTAGGTTTCTTCAAAACTGTCAGCTGACCAAAACCACCAATTCCTAATTAAACCCTTTATAAAACATTGCTCCTAAACAATTTTTCAAGGTAGTAAACCAGGAAGGCACCTGATCCTCAATAATAGATTTGTTCTTGGGTTCTCAATTGTGAACAGTTTTTTTCCACTGCAAAAACATGCTCATGGAATCGTCCTTTCCTTAGCTCCTGAGGCCAATGATTATGATTCATTAGCTGAT